ATATATATATATATGAGCCTTTCCTCACCAGTGTTGTAGCTGTAGTGAATAAAAGAATGCACATGATATGACCAGGATTACTTTTCAGGCTTGCTGAGCCTTCAGATGTCCTTGTACTATTTCATTATTGCTTGCTTGTTTTCTGTTTCTTGTTTGATTGTTTTCTGGGTCTTTTCAATACAATCCAGCTCAACAGAACCCGACAGCCCAGCTGCCGGCCAGACAGCAAGAGATCGAAATCAACAGGCAGCAGCGGTACTTCCGCATTCCCTTCATCCGCCCCGCGGACCAGTACAAAGACCCCCAGAACAAGAAGAAGGGGTGGTGGTACGCGCACTTCGACGGGCCGTGGATTGCTCGGCAGATGGAGCTTCATCCTGACAAGGCTCCCATTCTCCTTGTGGCGGGTTGGTATCGCAAGCAAAATTCAAGTGTGGACAAGGTTCAGAGGTGCTAACTTACTTTAGAGGCTTTGGAGGCCGATGATAAAAGTTTCCCAAGTTGTATCCTCCTTTTTTTTTCCATCAGCAGTTCTTGTCTGGGCAGAATTTGAGGATTTGGGATTGCTGTTGGTGGTAGCCAAATGTTCTGGAATATCATTTGGAGAGAAAACTGGGTCACGTATTTTACCTGTACCTGTATTTACATCTGGGAAATCATAGACAGAGGAGGAATCCAATTGTAAATGGTTTTATTACTAAGTGATGTCAGATTATTCACTGAACTGGAGACAGTGTGAAGATAAAACATCACGATTTATCTGATTTATCTACTCATTATTGCATTGGTTTTTTAGTTAGCTTTGAAAAACGACAGCAGTTTGTATCAAAACGATTTGTGCATATGATATATTGTCTTTCAATAGTGGTGTGTTAGTAGCAAACTGATGCTTTTACCATGTTTATGCTGCCTTGTATGGGAGAAGAGCTTTTTAATCTTAAGCATTTAAAGTAAAAACTAAATGTGGCAATGGATAGGCAGAGATTTATCTGGTAATGAAATGTATCCTCTTTTCCAGAGGATAATAAAAGGGAGAGAAAACACTGGAGAAATGCTCTTTACAGTTCTCCAGTTTGAGTTTTTATGTTTAACTTGAGTACTGAGGAGAGGCCATAACCAATTGTTTAGCTTCAGGGTGATGTTTTATGAGCAACAAAAGTTCCTTGGTTTTCTGCTGATTATTTGTAATAGAATTCCTCATATCAACTGTTACCTGCTCAGTGTCAAAGCCCATAGATAAAGGTAGCATTGCTGTCATCATTACCACATTCGATGGATCGCCTATTAAAAGAATTAAAATATAGAGGGTGAGCTACAATTACCTTTTCATTTATTCACTGGATTCCCAGTGCCAGTCCCATTTGGTAAATATAGGTTAGCATGAGAGGCTGACAGATGAAGAACACTGGCTGCTTGATCAAAAGTCTTGAGTTCTTACATGTAAACAGTTTAAATAAGAACAGCTGTTTACTGTAAAACTGTGTAAAGCTGAAAGCACGTGTGGAACAAATGCGGTTGTCATCCTGGAGTGGAAAATTCAGGAGATTATATCAATATGCTGATAATATATATAGTTATGTAGTATTATATTAACTATTATCAACATAGCTAAATGAATGAATGCATCACAGAATGGTTTGGGTTGGAAGGGACCTTAAAGCCCCCCCAGTCCACCCCCTGCCATGGGCAGGGACACCTCCACCAGCCCAGGCTGCTCCAAGCCCCGTCCAACCTGGCCTTGAACACTGCCAGGGAGGGGGCACCCACAGCTTCCCTGGGCAACCTGGGCCAGGGCCTCCCCACCCTCACAGTCAAGAATTTCTTCTTCATATCCAGTCTAAATCTGCCCTATATATATATATGTATTTATATATATATAAAATCTCTGAGGGCTGATTTTCCTCATAAACTCTGAAGTCTAGTAACAAACCAGAGCTTGAGAGAGGAAAACTAATTAACAGAGATCTCATCTTTGTTAATGGGCCTTTTGAATGCTAGAGAAACTTTATAAAGACTCTTCTTTTTCCCTTCACCGTTTCAGGTAAGGATGATATGGATATGTGTGAGCTTAACCTGGAAGAGACTGGCTTAACCCGAAAGCGAGGTGCTGAAATATTGCCCAGACAGTTTGAAGAAATCTGGGAGCGCTGCGGGGGTATCCAGTACCTCCAGAACGCGATTGAGAGCAGACAAGCTCGCCCCACGTACGCCACAGCCATGCTGCAGAACCTGCTGAAGTAAATGGGCGTTTGCACAGCAGCGTTTGAGACGAGAACCCTCGCCCGCGATTCAAAGGGAAGAGCTCCTCTGTGCAACGGGGGACGTCAACCTGCTATAATCACGTTAGAGATGTTTAATATAAAGTGAACAGATTTTATTAATCATCTGGTTTGTTAATTTGTACTTTATGAGGTTTAATTTGTGTAGTGACCTTCGCTAGGTATGAGGACCTTGGAGAAACTTCGGTCAGCGTAGTTTGTTGCATTTTGTTTATATGTTGTATTTTCTTTAACAGTTTCTGTCGTAACTCTTAACACGTTGAAGCGATCTGTCTGTACTTGGTTACGGATTGCAAAAACTGCTTTGCAACCACCTTTGTATGAAATCCCCTCCTTAAAACACTGAATAGTTGGCTTCATGTGGTGGCCTAATAAAGAGGATTTGCTGTTTCTAATACCTGGAATTGCGAGGCCTTAGCTTTGACTTCTGTTCCAGAGAAGTTGGAGTATACTTTTATATAATCTTAGACATTTTATGTCCTGGTTTGAAAACTGGTTATTGTCTGTATTTACTGACTTTTTCAGAAACCGATGGGAAATCCTCCTCAACTTGAGACCCATAAATTCCTATTTAATGCATTCTCTGTCTTGGTTTAAGAGCAATGGTTTTCTGTACACTCCGAGAAGAGCATTCATGTGTGTCCATAGTGTGTGATACTGGAGGTACTCAAAGAATGTACTGCTCCTTAGGGCTCACACCACTTCTCTCTTTGGTTCTTTTTTCTTTTGTCTCTAAGTACAAATTTCCTTTTAGACTTTTATTTTTCTGACCAAATGTCCAAATTCTTGGGCGCTTTGTTTATCCAGGTAGTGTAATTGCAGTATATTATGCAAAAATGTCCAAGACTTATATCCGGAAGCATATAAGGTTAAGGATAGCATAAGGGAAATATGTTCAGCTTTTTGGTGGCAGTATAACTTAACTGAGTATTGAGGCCTGAGCCTCAGAAATCCTGTTTATTTTAATCGTAATGAGATGCACAGGGTCTGTACCTTTGTTAGATTGTGTAAAAACTTGGTCTTGATAACGTCATGCACCATCTTAATGCTATGTGCTGATGAAATAGCTACAGTTTTTAGTATTCTGGAGCATCATAGTGATTTGGACACTGAGCTTTCTCTTAATCTCCTCTCCTTGTAGCTTGTAACAATTCCCTTCTTTAGCACTTTGTTCTGGGAAGTTTTGTGGGTGGGAATTACTCATCCCATACATTTTCAGATGCATCTTGTTCATTTATGTGAATGTTGTTTCACCATGCTGGCCATTATTTCAACAGACTCAACTTGATTATTTATTGCCTCTCTGATAGGAATTTGAAATATCAGTAGCTCGATGTCATTCGTTACTGAACCGGATTTAAAAATGAAGTCTTGCTCTGACAAAGTTTGCTTACACTGTAAAATAATTTCCTCAGTGTTGACTTGGTTTGAAACCTCTTGGAAACTTTAGTTTTTAAATGCATAAGTATACTTAATCAATGAATTACCCAAACAAGTGCTTCACTGAAGCAGTAATTCTTGGCTGGAAGATGGAAGAAGTGCATCAGGCCGCTGGCTAGCAAGTTGTGGACAGGGTTGCCTGGCTTTGAAGGTGCTGCTTCTGCAGTTTGGATTACTGGGATTTAATGTGTCACTGAATTGGAACAAAAATTTCAGAACTTCCAGCCTCCAGAAACTTCGCACCCTAAAAACCTGTGATGGTTGACGCCATACGAGGAAGAAAAATCACTGACCTGATAGGGCTGCGATGCCCTACCCTGCATTTATTACTCTCTAAATTCAATTTCTTGACATAACGCATTCAGACTCACTTTGTGTATATACATACATAGATATATTTATATGTATATAAACCAGATCTTAATAACACTGAACATGGTAAGCAAAGAACTTCAGTACTTCATTTTCAGAGGCTGAGGGGAGACCTCATCACCACCTACAACTACCTCAAGGGAGGTTGTAGAGAGGTGGGTGCTGGTCTCTTCTCCCAGGTGATGGGGGATAGAACAAGGGGAAATGGCACCAAGCTGTGCCAAGGGAGGTTCAGGTTAGAGATAAGGAGGAAGTTCTTTACTGAGAGGGTCGTCAGAAGCTGGAACAGGCTGCCCAGGGAGGTGGTGGAGTCACCATCCCTGGATGTATTTAAAAAGCGGGTAGACGAGGTACTTAGGGATATGGTTTAGTGGGTAGACAGGAGCGGTTGGACGTGATGATCTCAGAGGTCTTTTCCAACCGAGTGATTCTGTGATTCTGTGTGTGTATGTGTATGTACACATATATATGCCTAAATATTTTAGTATATATATGTGTAAACATACTCATGGGGAACTTAAGTTAAATTAACTCAATTTTTCCTGCCTGTTCCTTTGATTATGCCAGGATTTCCTTGACTGGCCTCAGAAAGAAAACGTATTTTTCAAAACGGGGTGTATGGGAGTTCTTGTTAACAAAACAACTGACAAATCTGAGCTGTCGGGAAAACGCGACTGACTTGGACAGAGTGTCCAAGGAACTGGTGGCTGGATGCTCTCAAATGAGGTGTTCCCCCTCTGCATTGCTCCAGCAGAGGGCCTGGGGCAGGCAGATGATGCTTTCCAAAAATCAGGGTGTTCTGCTTTGCACACTTTTCCCTCTGCACCACAAGTAGCATCTGCTTTTAGTTTTACTGATCCTTTTGTGCAACAAAATTCCATTTCAATTCATTTCAGGCTTATATTTTTTACATCAGGCAATACTCAGCTGCTTAGCGGTTGTGTCTGTTGTCCCATCTGCTGTGTCAGGTCACGATGCTGTTGATTTGGAGAGGAATTACAGGGGGTTGATGTGTAGGGTTGTAGTTTTACCTGATGCCCTTCTGACCTATGGTTCTGGAGAAAAATGTACTTTGGTTTTTAGAGCAGAACGATGAGGTAAACGTGTTGGCTTGGTTCTGTGCATGCAGTTTTTTAAAGAAAATGATCTTCCTGCCTCTCAGCAAAGCTGTCCATTGGAGCTGAGATCTGCACGAAACGCTCCAGAGAGCAGAGGAGAGGAAGAGCAGGACTGTGCCAGGCTGCGGTCCTGACCAGGCGACCCAGGAACACCAATTGGCTGGAGAATGCTGCTTTGAGGATCGTCAGGTCATTCAGTGCTTGGCTGTCATCCACTGATAAGGTTCTTTTTCTTTACTTAGTGGAATCCTTTGGGGTTTTCTCCAAATTCTTTATTTAAAGTATTTAAATGACCTCCTAATACTGTACTGAAAATTCAAAAACAAAAATAAACACATTCCATGTTGAAATCTCTGTTGTGTCTGTCACCGTTTTTTCTTTAAAGATTTAAAGCAGAGTAAGTAAGGGCAAATTACTTTATGAGTAGGATTTGTGTGCTGGAACCGCCTGCTGCTTTTCTGTCAGACGTTTATGGTGCCTCAAGCTACTCTGGTAAAGATTTTGTCTCTACTTTCTAAGATAAGGGTTCCTCTAAAATAACGTTCTGACATTGAAAACCATCTGATTTTGGTGTCTTTAAGTCTCATACCTCATTTCTCAGTATATGTTGAAACAAGTATCTTTTTACTTTGATTACTATTTTTAAACTGTTATTCCTATCCCTGCCAACGTATTTACCCTTTGCTGTGCTGTGTGCATCTTTTTTCATTTGAATCTTAACAGTGAAACCCCCTTAACTGGTGAAACCCCTCCTGCTTTGAGGTTCTGTGCTGCAGGGAAAGCTTTGTCTCTGTGGTGTTACCAAACTTTCCTGTCTTAAATTCTAAATCAGAGTGGTGTTTGTTTGTTATTTCAGAAGATTGAAGTAATTCAGACTTTGATATCCAGGAGATGTGGTTTTGTTTTACGTTATGGCTTTCATGTCCAACTGTAGCATCAGTTTTAAGACTCAGCAGTTCTAAGGTAACGTGATGTGTTTTAGGGTGAGAGAAAACACCAGTTCAATTCAGTGTGAAATTTTCAAGTAAATAGTTTTATTATATTTTATTGAAATACAAAAGGCTTACATCCAGCAAAGATATTTGGTAATTAATAGTTGAGAGTGATAAATACAGTCATGAATAATCATCATTAAAGTACACATTTTAAAAGTATTTATTTTTAAAATCTGACTAGAGATAACTACTGTGAATTGGGTTATACTAAACACATACAAAAATACATTTGTAATGGAAAAAAGTGGAATGCTTGCAGCATCCTTTAATGCATTCTGAACTTACATGAGCAAGAGTGAAAAGCTGACGTCTGTTGGCAGGGCTGACTCCCATCGCCCTGCAAGAAGGATTTTTAAAGTCGTTTTATTCTGCAGTGTTTCTGTGTAAAACCACATCTTAGGTTTCCTTTTTATATTTTTCTTTCCTAGTTAAATAAAGTAAAAATACGATTGCAGCTGTAGAAATTCAACCTTGTGTTCTTGGTGCATTGCCCGTGTTTGTGCAGTCACCAGTTGTGGTGGTTCTGCGGGCAGAGCTGTGCAGTGAATTGACTGGAATCCGTAGACAGTTCATCTGAGAGTACAGAATAAGGTAAACCCAAGTTCAGTCTCTGCTGTGGTGACCGTGTGGTGCGCAGGAAAAGGAGTTGTCACTAAAGTCGGCTACAGTCCTGAATGCGGGCAAGTTTGACGCCTGAACGAGGAGCTGGCATCCTGTATCACCAGGAACGTTGTAGGAGCTCAGTTGGAGCTGGAAGGACAACTTCTGGTGTGCACCAAGCAGCAGACAGTGCCTGGGTATTGTACAGCACTGGTGCTGCATGAGAATATCCTCAAGAAAAAGGTGGTCAAGGTAAATTAATGCTCATACTGAATCCGCAGAGCATAAATTACTCACCCTACAAAATGCTTAATGGCCGCCAATTCTCCGCTTAGTTTTCTTCTGCAAAACCTAATAGTAACGTCTCAAAGTTCTCTGTGTGTGTACTGAGTGCAGAGTGTATGTGCTTATGTGTGACCCTGCAGTCTGCTTGCTGCTGGGAGGGTGCTCGTGAATATAAATCTTGGGTTCTGAAAAGAAACTGCAGCAACAAGTTTGAAGTCCCAGGATAAGACAGTGTAACCGTCACCAGAAATTAAGCAGTGAAGTGTGTATGTGCATATTTATACATAATATGTTAATAAACAGAGAAATATGAATCTCATATTCATAGAAAGCACTAAAAAATGAGTCCCTACTTCCAAGTGATTTGCAATGTGAGCGTTGTAGGGAGAGAATGAGAAAGCTCCCAGGCGCTTTTGATGTGGCCTTTGGTCAATGACAGCTCCGGTTTTCCATGTTTACATGGAACATGTTTCCGTGTTTCCACTTACACTGCTGTATGTAAGGGAGGTCGATAAATGGATACAGAGATGTGGTCAAGTTACACTGACATCTTTACCAGAATGGATGTGACACACAAAAAAAGTCAGTTCTCGGCAAAATCTGATTCTAGCACTCAAGTCTTAAATCAAAAGAGTTAAAATGTGTGAGCACGGGGTGCTTGATGCATCTTCACACCAGTGACTCCTTCCTAGGCAAATTTTCAACTTGGTCAAATATTTGGTCAGCTTGGTCATGGTGTTTTTCTTTAGTAAACCAGTTTTTTTAGTGTCCCGAATTTAGATCTAAAATGTTTTATCTTTAGGAATCCTTGGATTTTTTCCATGTGCATAATCAACCTGAAGCCCAGTCTTGAATAACGCAGACCTTCTCTTTTGAATGCCTGTAAGAGAAACTCTCATCAGACGTTTGAAAAGCATTTTTGAATTTGAAAATGCATTCTTTACCTACTGCTATAAGGCAAGATCTCACTAAAATCTGTTGAGATAATCCCCGGTTCATTGTAAGGAGAGCTGAGGTAATCCTGAAGTTGTTTTTTACACTCCCAGTCATTGAGTTCAGAGTAAAATTGTTATTTTTCCTCACACATTTGAGTTCCCAGAGACCCAACCGTGTGAGAAGTAGCTGTGCTTTTCCAGCTGCTTGCAAATACTTTGGTTTTCTACTGAGCACAGCAGCAAATTCCACACCTGGCCATGAAGCTGGTTTGCTGGTTGCTGGATGACTGATTTGATAAAAACCCAACTACACCAAACCCCCTCTGATGACTCGGTTTTTCAGTCTTTTTCCACTTTAACTAGAGACATTTTTAATGCTTAGGAAGGAATTTAAGGTTATTTTTGCTTCTACTGGGATTTTATGCTTCCTTTTTTATATGCCTCTGTAAATACAGAGCTTTAAGTACTGTGGATGGTATGTCCTAAAAAGCTGTCACTGCTGTCATTACACATTGTAAACCTACATTTAAAGACCGGGATTTTCAACTTGGCCTGACAGTTGTAGATGTCCACCTCCTCCTGGAAATACAATTCAAATGCCGTATTCTGTTGTAAGAATCCTACCCCTAAAGGACTTGTCCAGACTGGTATGGAAGTGCTGCTCTTAGTTTCAGCATACACAAGCTGTGCTCTGCACACACTTTTCTTCCTCTGTTGTCTTTACCAAGTCATTCAGCACAAGGGCTCTGATGTAGATGCTCATTTTGAGCTGAAGTAATGGTGAAGAATGTCAGAAACCACCCAAGTTTTTAAACACATTTCTATTTTGTGGTTGCCGCACTTCTCACTAAATTGATTTCCTTAACTAGATCTCGAGGAGAGCTTTGTCAATACAATTTAGGCAATCAAATAAATCTAGAATGGCACCGACCTGGCTCTCTCCCACACGTGCCATTTTATTCCTTTCATAAAATATTTAATGCTTTTGTAAGTAGTAATTTTAAGTAGTTCAGCGAGTATGAAAGTTTATTGGTCTACAATCACTCACAGACACATTCTGTTTAAGATAAGTCTAAAATACTGTCCCTGGATCCTGTCCCCTATAGCACATACATAGTGCCAGGGCAATCTGGGACTGAGATTCCCCTCAGAAATCATGGGTTCTAATGGCTATAGTAAAAACTTCTGGTTCCTAATTGGGCGGTGACTCAGAGAAATGAAAAATGGCAAAATAAAAGCTTTTGGTTTGCCTTTCAAGAGGGCATGCTCAGAAACATCAGAATTAAGAGACAGTCTGGCAGTTTTAGAGAATTGCTTGACTCTGCTTTTCTCCTTTCTGTTTCTTCCCGCTCGCCCAAAACTTGAAATAATGTCTTGAGGTACAGAGTAGAGTACTGCTCAAGTTCGAATCTCTACTTGTCCAAACTCTGTGAAGCTTAAATAGGCACAACTTATTTTTAAATGATCTGTGTTGCTTTTTCATTTTACATATTCCTTCTTCCTCCATGTGTTTCAGTGACTGCCACGTTAGCAAATGGGTATGCAGAATGGAAATGTGTTGTAGAAAATCACGTAAGAAGGGGTTGTTGTTGTCGTATCAAGCATCCAAAGAAAAATGAGCTTTTCTTTGTATGGAGCATCTCCTGATGAGGAGCAGCTGAGGGAGCTGGGTCTCTTTAGCTTGGAGAAGAAGAGACTGAGGGGTGACCTCATTCATGGGGATCAATTTGGAAAGGGCGAGTGTCAGGAGGAAGGAGCCAGGCTCTGCTCTGTGATGTCCAATGGCGGGACAAGGGGCAATGGGAGCAAGCTGGAGCATAGGAGGTTCAACCTGAACATGAGGAAAAACTTCTTTACTGTGAGGGTGCCAGAGCCCTGACCAGGCTGCCCAGAGAGGTTGTGGAGTCTCCTTCTCTGCAGACATTCAAAACCTGCCTGGACATGTTCCTGTGTGACCTCCTCTGGGTGATCCTGCTCTGGCAGGGGTTGGACCGGGTGAGTTTTCGAGGTCCCTTCCAACTCCTGACATTCTGTGATTCTGTGAATCAGTACAAAGAGGCTTCCTGGTAACAGGAAACTCAAGAGAAAGCTCTTGAAAATAGTCACAAACCTCGGTTTTGTCTGGTTGATGCTGGAAGTGAAGAATTTCGCAGACTAACTTGTCAGTCCTGGCTTTGTAAAGTGGTCTGGTGGCCTAGAACAGGTAAAAACAAAGCAAAACAAAACACAAGATTAATTATTTTACAAAATGACGAAAAGCACTCGGATAGGACGGACGACCAAAGCCATGCAAAGGAACTGTAAGAAAAGCACCTCTACAATCCTCTTATGAAACCTACAGCAGTAGCCATGGACAGCAAGTAAGTGAATTAGTCTTTTTAGTTCTGAAATTGCCAAGCAGGAGATTAGAATCAAATCTGGTTTAGTGTTGTGTAGAGTTAATACATGAAGAAGGACTCGGTATTTGAGGTGGGGCCGTTTGTCGAGGGGTAAGGGAAGCATTTCCATGCATTTTACCTCCAGGCTGGATTGTGTTCTCAAGCTCGTGTCGTGCTTCGTGACCAGCGGTGCCTGAGGACCCGACACGAGCACTTACACTACAGGCCGTGTGACAAAAGCTAGGTACGGGCTCATCGTGCTCAAAAGCGGGATTAATCCTTACAGCGCTTTCTGAACTGCAGCTGCCGAGAGCAGAACTTCTACAATGCAGAACAGTTGTGTTTAGGTGAGACTTTAAATGGCAAAATTCACAAGGAAAAATTTTGAAACGTGAAGAAAAAGAGCGGGAGCAGCTTACTGCAAATCAGAGTCTCTTTTGCTTTTTCTTCTTAACTTAATAATTAAAACGATGAAAAGAAAACCAAGGCTTAGTGAGCCAAGAATGAGAGGTTTAAAAGTGAAGGGTTGTGTGGGTTCTGGAGCAAATTTTGCACAGCGCTGTCCTTGGTAAACCTCGTGTCTACGTACAGGGCATCTAAAACAGGGAGAGGAAGAGAAAATACACAGAGCTCGAATGCAGAAAATACAGAGGACCTCAGCTGAAAACAAAGGACAATCTGCAGTTAAACACAAACATGTTAAGCAAGTATTCCTAATATAATTAATTGCTGTGTCTGTGTGAAATAACGTGATTGATACTAGCAGAAAGAAACTATTCTTAGATTCACGAGAGTGAGCGTTGAACTAAAGGATGCTGATACATCCTTTGCCAACCTAGAATATCTAAGGAATGTTATGTGTTTGGAACTTCTCTGACAAATCTCTAGCTCCACGGGTGAAGCTGAAATAACATTTCTGGTTTAGAACCTTAGGCGTTCAGGTGCATTTTTGGAGTAGTGTCTGAGCCTACATGTGGTTTATTGGGGATTTTAATGTGAGTAGCCACGTCTGAAATAAGAGTTCTACTTCAAGTACCTCCCTTTAAAGCCAGGGAGAAGATTGCCACATTTCATACGAGAACACAGGGGTTCCAGTTAGTGGAACAACTACAGAGTGTAAAGGCAGTGTAGGTTCTGAGTAAATTCACAAGCAAAACAAGTGCTTAACTAAAGCAAAAAATTGGCCATAATTTTCCCTGTGCAGACTGTGGCTGGCTGCAAATTTGCTCTTTTGTAACTTGCTATAATTCAGAAAAGGTTTCATTTATTATCTTTAATGCTTTTATCATTCCAAATGATGGGTTGGTTATGACTGTACATCAAGTCAGGGCTTTTCTGCAGGGGAAAGCTGTTATATTCCATAGGGTGCTGCTCTTGGAGGAGCAGGCTGTGCCCTTTGCTGCTTGAATCACGTTTTGAAGAGGAGCTCTCTAGCTCACAGGCTGATTTCTGGTACCAAACACTGGAGCTGCAGCACTGTGACTCTGCAGGTCAGGAATTCAGCAGTAACTGATGAATTCAGTATAATTTTCTATTATCATTTCAGTGACGCCCACTGCAGGCAATGAATTGTGGCAGTTATGTAGTTACAATGAAATTATCATATGAATAATTCACTCAATAGTCCTATTTTTTGATGTTTATCCTAAATACACTAAAAGATGTATCATTAACCTAGTAAAGGCAACATTTCAAGAGAATAAACAAGTGCAAGAATTGTAGCTTGTCTCTTGCTTATACACATGGCCGGACCACTACCGTGTGCCAGTCTGGTATACAGTTTCCCATAATAGTCTGGATTGACAGTCTTAAAATGAGACAAAAGCTGATAATTTTAAAAAAATAATTAATATGCTCAAGTACTGTGGGTAGTTCTCAATATTGGGTTAGCATAATTTTGTGTAAAAATGCTTTGCAGTTACGTGGAGCTGCTCATCTTCAAGCCATGCCCACAAAGGCCTTAGAGCAGCCTCAGCCTTCGTGTGCTCTACTGGGTGGTCTCGAATCAGAACAGTGTTTATAGGTGTGTTTATAAGAATATAGATTTCCTTCTTAATAGAACTTAGAGAAAAATAATGTCTTAAAATACTACTATGAAATCAATAGCAAAACAGTTAATGTGTTACTTCATTTTTCCACGATGTATTTGGAAATCTGAAAAGTGAATGGTTTTGTACTTGTAATCTCTGCCAACAATGCTGAATTTGTAATAAACTTCTACAGCATCTCTCAAAAACTAACGAGATCGTGATGCTGTGTGTGTACCAACAGGCAGAGATGGTTTTATCCACAGTGAGTCTGCTTATACTGAAGCAGGGTATTGCAACGTAACTTCAAGTGTCTGAATATTGATGTCTTGGCTACTTAGCATGGTTTATGCTGTTGAAAAGTGCACACGCGGCCCTGCTCGTCCATGCAATAGACATTTTGGGGGTCTGTTAACAGAATTCGTGCTGAGCACCGTTTATTTACCTGCAGACAGCTCCTCGTCCTGGAACCAGCTCGCACTTCCCCCCGTTGACGCAGAGATGGGGCTCCAGCTCGCACAGGCTGCGGCAGGGCAGCCCGTCCTGGCTGGCATAGCCGGGTCTGCACAGGCAGTCGGCCTCTTTGGTCCACTCGTTCATGATGCACTCCGAAAACTCGTCACACGCCATGAATTTGCACGGGTCTGCCTGATCAGCTGCAAAGGATGGGGGAGTCATTTACTGATGCGTTTCAATCCATGTTTACTGGGCTACTGCTTGTGCGTGCCAATAGGAGGCTGTAGTGTAACGCCAAAGGACACACATCCTTTCTGTAGCTGACACCGCAAGCATGCAAGCGTGTATTCACGTGTATATCACTATTAAGATGTGATTTTATTATCATCTCACTGATGTGGATTTTCACATTTGGATATTTTAATACTTGTTTTACTGTAAGTACTAGTTTTATACTCATGGATACTCTGTGATAGCTTTGACTATAATCATCTTAAACACTTCATTCAGGACATGTCAAGAGGAGGGAATTAGATTGTTGAATATTGCACAATACTATGAGGACTGCAACCTCTACTATGGGATAAAGCTCTTAGGCAGAAGGTAAAAGAAGAGGAGAAGACCAGGGGTTATAAATTCTGTTCTTGCCAGCAAGCAGTCAACAAGATGTGTGAATCCGGAAAGGAGAGAGACCAAAACAAAGAAGTTTGAAAAGAAGATTTGCACTGGATACCGTACCTGTAGGTTCTGTCTGGGCTGAAAATTTCCTTCTGGAGCCACTTCACGGCCCCAGATGCTCTATAATACTAATTTCAATGAAAAATGAGCGCTGCATTCTTTATAGTAGTACTGGAAATCTCAGACACACACTACGATATGCTTAACTGCTAGAAATTAATCCAGCAGAGCTGTTCACTTTCAACCCATAATTCCACGGCTTCTTCCCTTTTTTAGTGAGTTTTAGCATGCTCGGTTTCCCTGTGCTGCATACAATGTGCATGTTAATTTGGGATCTACTTTGTCTCTGGACTGTAAGTGTACTGAACTCTAACAACTGCGCATCCAAGTGATGCTGTAAATTACAAGGTAACTTTTCTTTCAGACAAACCCTGGTTTATATGTGAGAAAAAAGCCTATGTATATTCCAAGTCTTGGCTCTGGCCATTGATGCTACTGATTACGAATTACAAACTTCAGTCTCTAATGAAACAAAACCAGCTGGCAAATCAAAACCAGTTCTTACAGATTATTTTCTGATTCCTCACAGAATTGCACTCCAAGCAAAACCACGAGACTTATAAAGGGAAAAATGGTTGATAAAAGAGTTTGTATGATTGAGTAACTGACCAAAGCACTAACAGCTGCATCAGCTGTGGTCTCCTGTGAGTCTCTCCTGTGTTGCTGGTCCCAGTTTGTCTTCACACCAGTGGAAATAAAGGTTGGTGCTGCTCGCAAGGAGACACAGACTCTGCATCACCCAGGGTTGTGTTGTAGCCCCGGACTTCGCAGAAGCCAAAAGATCTCAGTGTGTTTCTGTTTGACAAGTGGGGCCCAACAGGAGCATTTGCTGGGTTAAGGGGTCATTTTTTGTTGACAATTGTTCATTTTCCTTAATAAAGCGTTGGGTCACGTACCTGCCGTACTTTGCCATCTTTTCTGTGTTCTCACTTTGTTTAGATTAAATAAAATATAATGCAGGTGTTTTTAAAAGCCTGCTGTGTTATTCTTTATGGTTTTATTTAAGACCAAAGCAGTCAGCCCTTTGCAGCTGTTGAGTCTTGGTCGAGATTTGGGGTGTTGGTTCCCATCAGCGTTTCAATGTGGTATTACATTATTACCACTAGATGGCTCTTACGTTCACCATAAATAGGAGTTTGCTTAAATTACCTGAGTTTACTAAACAGTAAATTGTGTTTATTGGTTTTCTTTCACAAGTGAAAAGACAGCAGGGCTTTGAAACACCTGCATGGGGTTTCATACTGACTTTCTAAACACAATTTCTTCTATTTGCACTTTATTACTGCTCATAAGCCTTGAAAGATCAGCTTTCTCAGCAGACTCATCGTGATAGAGTTTTCTTGAATTAATGTTGAAATAACATCAATAAAGCAGCTGATATGCACGAAGATGAAAGATTTAATTTTTTTCTGTATGTGCATCTTAGCAACGTTTTCATTTTAATTTTTATTTAATGAAAATTTAGTAGTGAAGCAGGGAACATGTGGTGACCCAAAGCTCGCTCTTTCTAGTGGTCTCATCACTTTATTCAGTGAAACATCAGTTTACCATGCCAGTAATTGAAAGTTTTTAATCCTGTGACTTTGTTAACTTCCTTTACCACTCACTGCCTATGCTCTTACTGACCACAAGGAAATAAAATAAAATGAAAACAGAGCAGAAACTGCCTTCATGAGCTGTAAATGGAGTTTTTTTTTCTGGAGTTGTCAGAGAACTGCACATAAAAAGGCGGCTCAACCAGGAAGGCAAAAGGCATCTGCATGCTAAGGTTTTGGTGTAATTCTTCATGCCAATGAAACTGAATTCAGCCCTGAAATAATTACCAGAACCTGAAAACAGATCCAGGCTACAATTTTATGAAACAATACAGTTTTTAAAAACTTAAGCTGGGCCCCTCAGTTCAAGAAGGACAGGGAAGTGCTTGAAAGAGTCCAGCGCAGAGCCACAAAGATGATGGAGGGAGTGGAGCATCTCCTGATGAGGAGCGGCTGAGGGAGCTGGGGCTCTTTAGCTTGGAGAAGAGGAGACTGAGGGGTGACCTCATTCATGGGGATCAATTTGTAAAGGGCGAGTGTCAGGAGGAAGGAGCCAGGCTCTGCTCTGGGATGTCCAATGCCAGGACAAGGGGCAATGGGAGCAAGCTGGAGCATAGGAGGTTCAACCTGAACATGAGGACAAACTTCTTTCCTGTGAGGGTGCCAGAGCATGGCCCAGGCTGCCCAGAGAGATTGCGGAGTCTCCTTCTGTGGAGACATTCAAAACCCCTGGCCGTGTTCCTGTGTGACCTGGTCTGGGTGATCCTGCTCTGGCAGGGGGGTTGGACTGGGGGAGCTTTCGAGGTCCCTTCCAACTCCTGATATTCTGTGACATTACAGCAGTGTCCAGATTTGTTGCTACTGACTTTCTACTGTTCAACAAAGTCTACAGACTCATTTGCAAGGAATTAGATCAGGAGGAATCCTGGAATTGTAAATCCACAGAGTGCTACATCGAGTAATGCTCTGGTCAGTGAGTACCTGCAGAATCCAATTATTTCTAGAAACTGTCTCCTTCTCCCTTGAACTATATAGCCCTTTAAAGATTTAATGATGCTCTAAACTATGGTTTGCTTACAACATTGCAAAAATCATCAGAAACTCTGTTGACATGCAAGATCTGCATAAGTCACTCCTGGAAACTGCACATGAACGTTCTTTATACCTCTCTTTGCCCAGCCTTTATTCGAGAGAGTTTGTAGTTCTCTGTATTTGGCTCTGGGAAGCAGTTGGTGTATGTGCACAGATCAACACCTCCACCCAGCATTTCATTTTAGTATCAAAATATCATCTTGGATTTTCTTGTCACTCCCTGTCACTGGGAGGCTATTGCTAATATCGTTGTTTCCAAACCAGAAATACTTCTGAAGCTTCAGAAATACTTCTGAACCATCTGGAAAAGAGTCTCTGCTTGGTTTTGGTTTTGCATACATTATTAATTCAACCTTACCTGGCTCAATATCCAGGGAATAGCTGTCAATCTCCAAATTGAGGCGTTGGGCTGCAGCATCACAGAAGTCTTCCAAAACGCAGTGTACTGCTTCCGTGATGTTGTATGGCACTGTCCTGGCAAATTTCATTTTGCTGTTCACAATCACACTCCCGTTCCTGAAGTTAAGTATTTCCAGGTGCTTAAAACCTGTAAGGTTGGACTGAAGGTATGGGAGTAGCTGCAAAAGAGAAATTTGCCTTTATTTTAACTTAATGTCTGCCTGCTATTAATTTCTCTCACAGTCACTTTTCATTATCAAGTACACCCATCACACACTTATTTCTCTGAATTAAATCTAACTGTTAAACTCCACCACCAAGTTCACTTTTCTGTTTAGCCCTATCTTCTTCTGGACTTTTGCATCTTTCTCAATAATGTATTGAGACGGATGGGCAGCGATTTCCCCTGTAATGAAATGCACAGCAGTTGGGAGGTTTATTCATCTGGAAGAGGAAAAGAATCACCTCGCTCAAAAGCCAACTTGAATTATTTTCAAACGCTCAATCCAGGCAGGTTAGGGCATAGCGTAATAGGCACGTTACTGAGCTGCCCTGCTGCCCTCTTGTACCCATGGAGAAAATCCATATCTAATCACATTGCCCCTGCTAAGCTATGATATATTTTAAAAGGCCTATTTTTAAATCCAGCAAGTAGACACAAGCCTTAGATGTAATCAGTGCTGCTATACTGTTGACATGAATCTAAGGAAAAGCCCAATAGATTACATGCCAGGCGTACAGCTGGAGTCTCTTGAACAAGTAAAACTTTCATCACTGATTTCATAAACTTTCTGAGATCATCCCAGGCTTATCGGTCATTTAAAAATGCAGCTTATCAGACCTATGTGTAGCAGGGTCTGATACTGTTAAAGTACTGTGCTCTGCAGTGTATTTCTTTAAACCGTGCCCAACTATTGCATACATTGTTCAAATTGATTTTCACCCACCAATTGCAAGAACTGCTGTTCTAGTGCTTTGTACTCGGTCGAGCTCCTGTTGAAGAGGTCATCAGAAAAGTGCATGTTGGTTACCCGCAGGCTGAAGAACACCACCAGCTCTTTGCCTTTGGCTGCGGTGGTCATGGAGCTGGTGGTTACGTACTTCAGCGTCGGAGCCGGGGTGGTTTCTGCGGGCTCGGTTGTCAGCATGGAGATGTAACCACTGCCGTGCTCCACGTCCTCCAGGGCTGCTGTGCTCATCACAGCGACGTGATCCAGCTCAGCTGCGATGTCCTGCACTCCTGTCCCAGGAGGAACGCTCTCAGGTTCGGACACGGAGGAATCTGGTACCTCCAGGGACTGCTCGATGATTTGGGACGGGCTGTAGGACGGGCTGGTTGCTGCTGGCAGTGGTGCTGGTTGGTCTGATGGTAGCACATCTGAAATGACATCTTCAGGCTGCGTGGTAGAGAGATCACTTGAAGCAGTAAAGAAAGGCAACGTTTCGTAAGTGCTGGCTGCAACTAAAATGTCATCGCCTGACGATTCTGCTGCATCCATGAACTTAACTGCTGCAGAAAAAAAACCAGAGGAAAATCAAGTAGCTTTTTTGAAATGGAAACATAACAAACCTCAAGCATGGAAGCAACATATATATCATATTTCCACTGAAGCATATTTAAAAGTGAGCTTTACTGCTATCTAAAAAGGAAAATGTTTTTTCCATTAGCAAGGAAGGACTACTGGAATAAAACACCTCACCCACAAGTTTGAGTGATGGGATTTCTGTGGGTGCTGTGTTTAAACAATAATTACACTTGGTAAACATTTCTTGAGCCATTCCAAAGCGCACTCATGTTTTGGAGGTACACAATCACACCATCAGTTTGTATTGCCTGAGAGGGTAGAGCGCAGCTTTGAGTTGCCTGCTTGGATCAGTTCAGTGCTGGACCCATTCCATTCGCCTCTGTGAGAGGTTAAAGCCATTATTTTCCAGTAATCATAACATGTGGTTAAGAAATAGAGTACTGCCTCTTACAGTGTTGGTTTACCTAAAAGACAACAGCACCAGTGAAAACAAATCCAAACCTGAAGGAAGCATCTCCTGCATTTGAAGAAACCATTTGCTCCAGATGCTGAATTTTTGTGAAGTCCTTGCTGGGGCATGATGTGGATCTCGGATGAGTGAATGCAGTAGCTGAAATCCAAATCTAATGTGTGATGAATGAGACTCTTTGAATTCGGCTTGCAGCTACCTGGCCACATTAACTTCACAGAAAATGATGGCCTCCAAGCCACAGACATCTACCCAAGCTGACACCTTTGTCCTTTTGCAGTGATATACTTGTGTGGGCTTTTCATGTGGGACTTTTAGCAGCTCCCTGCAGCAAAATCACTTATTGGCTGATGGGAAAACAGTTTTTCTCCAACTGATGACCTCTTGAATGACCTTGACTGAAGGAGGTGTCACCTATCCCGTCTGTGCCATAGGAGTTGCCCATGGATGCTCTTTGTGTCCCTTTCCATTTCCTTGATTCCACATGAATCCAATCTTCTTCTTATTTCATTGCTGTTTTCAGGAACAAGTGTACATTTTCAACAAAGAAAAGCTCAGTATGAGATAGCTGTCTGTTTGCTTGACACTGTTAATTTAACAGCACATACCTGCTCTTTGCTTCCTCCCTGCAGATACAATGCTTTGGTCTAATGGGGATTATTTTCCATAGAGCTCCATTCTGCTAAGCTGACCACACTTCTCAGAACAGGAAAGAATTGCTCTAAGGCACAGTATGTGGTTTTACTTGCATTAGATGCAAATATTCTCCCTTCTGGTTACTACTTTGCATAAATGTATGTTGAGAGTTGTTACATAAATATATTTTTCCCCTTTATAATTTATTTAATTATGTGTGTTGTTATATATATATGGTTATTCAGTGGTAGTAGTGTAAAGAGATAAATAAAAGTTAATATAAAAATAGTCTAATATTAAAATATATAAAATTAATATATGAAAACAATAGATATTATCAATAGTAATAAAATAAGTAAAGCACATAATAGACTGACCAGTGGTTAAACTATTGGAGTATGTTGAGAGAGCACTCGATTTACTTTTTGGTTCAAACTCCTCAGGAGTCTTAGGAATACGCCCCTGTGTGCTATTGATCTCACTTCTAGGAGGCATTTGGAAGTGAGAGGCTTCCCTTTTTAGTCAGCAGAGAGACATTTATCTCACTTGAAGAAAAACATGCAAACATATGCTGGATCTTTTGAAGTGCCTATATTTTTCTGTTGCCTACAGAAAATGCACAACAAATTTATGTAAGGTGCCTGTTTTCCCCATTATATATATAGTTTCTGTCATCTAAATCAATTTCTTAAGTGTCTTGTAGCATTATTAAGGTTCATTGATTTCGCTGAGGTGCTCAAGTATTAGAATGATAAGGACTATTAAATTTTTTAAATACTTTTTTAATGAACGTTTCACATGTCTTGGCTAAGGGCAGAACTGGGCCTTTTGACTGCTTTGCAGGGAAGTGAACTTCTAGAAACAATTTCCAAAAATAACCTGGCTACTCCGAAGCAGAACTCCTCAGATAAAGCATCGTGCAAGGATCATTACCGCATCTGCTTCTGGTTATGCAGTCAGTGTCCAGTGCAAATGTTATTCCATTACAAATAAACCCATCTGAAAGCACGTTGTATTTAAAACTGTATTTGACAGGTATCGAGTAACAGACGCTAGCATTGCATTTCAGTGAGCTGCTGAGGAATATCAGGCAAATCCTTGCTGCAGCAGAGTTTCTGACCACAGCAGTACATGTTCTCATAGCTACATGTGAAAAAAATCCAGAAGAGAAGAGATGTGGACTACTCTGACAGGGTTCATCAGGGAAAGGACATCTTCTGCATTTGCTGCTTTCTTGATGCACAAAATACTGCACATTTGCAAAGAGACTGCCTGGCCAGATGGTCCCCTCTTTTGGAGACCAGGTCATTGGCTACTGCTATCTGTGCTTGCAGGATTCCTCTGTTACCCCCCCAGCTCAAAGCAGAGCAGTCATCAAAGACAGCTCCCAAACCACCCTGGACAGCTGCTGCTGATGGACAAGCATTTTGTTACACTTTGGCACATTGGAACAGATGAGTAGTTGCTGGGTGCTACCAAGGTTTTCCAGAGACCAGGTTTTAGGGGAGGCGAGAGCAGAGCAGGGGTAAGCCACAGCAGGTGACTACTTTGCCCTTACCAGCAGCTGGCTGATGGTAAGTTACTGAAGACCACTCATCTCTGTCAGTATTTAGCGTGCCTTTCCCCTATTGGACAAGGCAAATTTTTACAGTCAGTTTTGTTGTCTTCATCTCCATGCATGAAAACATCTTCCCCCAAGTGCCTCCTTTTAATTTGGGAACCAGAATGACTTAGATGACAAAAAATCCCACTTGATAAGAGACTACATTTCACCTACATTGCATTTGATATTTAGGGTTGAGTTCCGGCCCCATTTGTACCAGCAGTGAACTCACTGAAATCAATGGAAGAGCAGTAGCATAAAATCTGAGCAAGGGAGATCAGGATATTTGGATTTGCTGCATTCTTCTTTACTGCAAGACCAGACTGTGGTGATCTGGATTCACAACAGGACCATGAAGTGGTCCATTTAAATGGAAGTCCATTTAAACTAGAACAGTCTAGTCTCCTAGAGAAAATGTCTCCTTTATTGTGACAAGTAAGTTGATGTAGACTCTATCGACCTAGACCAAACACTGCACCACATCTGATGGCCCAATACCTCATTGAGAGCTTGGGATGGTTTTCTCTTGTCATGTCCTTGTGTTTCTTGTGTAATCAAGGATACAGACAGAGTTAAAAACATAGCCTAGTGATGTTCTCTGTTTACAGAGCTCTTGCTGTTACCTGTTATGCTGATAAGGAGTGAGAGTCACTTATTAGTTAAGGGAACTCAGAACAGATTTCTTAGCATTAGTCCTTGAGGCATTAATGCAGGATGATCTACTGAGGGGATGAACCTGCAGCTCCACACAGGAACCTTCTCTCAGCATGACAACATATGATCGTGATGGTATTTGTTAGGCAGATTACATTTTAGAAGGAGGTAACTACAGGAGAAAGATGTACTGAAATGGCTTTGAAATCACAGCAGGTTTGAAACATAATAACCATATAGATGTATATATATATATTTTACAGATTTGTCATATAGCTGTGTCATATAGCTTTATAGTCTATACATAGACTATAAAGGTCTTCTGGCATCGTCTTCCTGCAAGCAAAGTAACTTAAAAGGTCTTGAGAGCGTACCAAGATGTTATTTCTGTGCATGCATCACCTGTTTTCAGAAGATGTCAGTTCTTATCGGTCGCTGTCTCTCCAGCTGAGATAGAGGTGCTGTCTGTCAGTCCCTCGCAGCGTAAATGGGCTCACCTAAAAGGCTGCTGAGTGCTCACTGAAGCACACCATCTGTCCCAAAAACAGAGGTTACTGACCTCTTCTGTTGGGTGCACTTCATTTAACATGTGTCATGTTACTGCTGCAAGAGGCACTACACAAGCTACATGTTGAATTCAACAGTAAAGTGATTTGCAACTGGTTTGGCCAAGCTTTTCCACTGTCTGCATGAGACTTTCATAAAAATCAGTCCTGAGGAGTGAAAAACTAGACATAAGAAATAATTTTTTTTATTATGAGTACTGTGAAATGCTGGCACGGGTTGCCCAGAGAAGCTGTGGATGCCCCATCCCTGGAAACATTCAAGATCAGGATGGATGGAGCTCTGAGCAACCTGATCAAGTTGGAGATGTCCCTGCTCATTACAGGTAGGTTGGTCTATGTGACTTTTAAAGGGACCCTCTAACCCAAAACATTCTATAATTCTATATATGTGCATTTATATATATAGATATATATATATATAAAATGGAACACAAAATACTCTTAAGCTGCTTCATCATAAAGCACTTATTTGTAAAATTTCATGCAGTTTCACTTGTAGATGAGATTTCTTAGAGCAGAAGGCTAGAAAATACAATCAGTTGCTTTATAAAACCTCTAAAAGTACAAACACTGAAGATTTAGACATTAGTCTCATTGTATTCCATTTCAGCAAACACTACAACACTGTCATTCAGGTGCAGGGAACTCACAAAGAGCTTGAAATAAGATGCTGAACTCAAATGTACCCCCAGAGTAACCTTAACGAAGGTTAAACAATGGTGTGGAATTAAAAACTGCTGCCAACAATGAAAAACACAACTCAGAGTCTCAGCCATCACTTACCCTTACACAAAGATGTTCACTGAGCTCTCCAGATTTTTTTCGCATTACATGGACAAGGTATTGTACAATATTGTACTGAGGAGAGTTTTACATCTAAAACTAAACTGCTGTTGGCAAAAATGTGCAAACGCTAAATTAAGAGCAATTTCCTGGGTGCACTGTCATATTAAATCCTTGTAAAAAGAGTGCTGCATGCAGGCATTTATTCCCAAGTGAAGGAGTGAAATACAAAGGTTTGACTTATCAGAAAATACCAACTGCTAGTTCAACAAC